TTATTATTATTATTTTTTTTTTTGTATTTTTAGTAGAGATGGGGTTTCACCGTGTTAGCCAGGATGGTCTTGATCGCCTGACCTCATGATCCACCCGCCTCAGCCTCCTAAAGTGCTGGGATTACAGGCATTAGCCACCGTGCCCGGCCCATCTCAGTATCTTTCTACAGTCCTCCCTACATTGCAGAAGCTGAAAGGTCGAACCTACATTTCCTAGATGACCTTGTGGCAGGGATCTTGGACACAGTTTTGGTTTTTCCAATCATTTCCTCTCATGAGATCTATAAGGTGGAGGTGAAGTGAAGTCTGCATGTGCTATTTATGCTGGGGAGTGCTGTGGTGGAGATGTTTGATTTTTTTTTTTTTTTTTTTTGAGACGGAGTCTTGCTTTGTCGCCCAGGCTGGAGTACAGTGGGGTGATCTTGGCTGGCTGCAATCTCCGCCTCCCGGGTTCAAGCAATTCTCCTGTCTCAGCCTCCCAAGTAGCTGGGACTATAGGTGCCTGTCACCATGCCTGGCTAATTTTTGTATTTTTAGTAGAGACGGGGTTTCACCTTGTTGGTCAGGCTGGTCTCAAACTCCTGACCTCAGGTAATCCACCCGCCTCAGCCTCCCAAAGTGTTGGGATTACAGGCGTGAGACACTGAGCCCAGCTTTTTTTTTGAGACAGAGTCCCCTCTGTGGCCCACGTTGGAGTGCAGTGGTGTGATCTTGGCTGACTGCAACCTCCCCCTCCCGGGTTTAAGCAATTCTCCTGCCTCAGCCTCCTGAGTAGCTGGGATTACAGGCATCTGCCACCACACCTGGCTAATTTTTGTATTTTTAGTAGAGACAGTGTTTCACCATATTGGTCAGGGTGGTCTCGAACTCCTGACCTCAGGCTATCTGCCCACCTTGGCCTCCCAAAATGCTGGGATTACAGGTGTGAGCCACCGCACCTGGCTGATGCTTGATATTTCTGCAGTGGCTTCTCATCATGATGATACCTGTATGGTTCAAGAGCTGGTAAGTGTAGAGACGGCTTTCCAACTTAGTAGATGGCTTCCTGATTTCAAAAGAGGCAGTGTCGCCTTTGGTGGCTCATTTTGCAGCATAGCTCTCAAAGTCATTCCTCAAAGTTCAACCTGCAGTTGGTTGCTTCAGCCCTCCAAACAAGTCTGGAAGTCATTTTATACCCTGTAATATATTCTTTTGTACTTAAACCATCTAGAAGGTTCTGTTCTCTGAAACTGGACCCAAATAATGTAACAGAAAAGCAGAATGTAAAGAAAAAAGCTGGGCGCGGTGGCTCACGCCTGTAATCCCAGCACTTTGGGAGGCCGAGACAGGTGGATCACCTGCGATCAACAGTTTGAGACCAGCCTGACCAACATGGTGAAACCCCGTCTCTACTAAAAATACAAAAAATTAGCCTGCGTGGTGGCGTGCGCCTGTAATCCCAGCTACTCAGGGGGCTGAGGCAGGAGAATCGCTTGAACCCAGGAGGCAGAGGTTGCAGTGAGCTGAGATCGCACCACTGCACTGAAGCCTGGGCGACAGAGCTAGACTTTGTCTAAAAAAAAAAAATTAGCTGGGCATGGTAGCGCGAGCCTGTAATCCTAGTTACCCAGGAGGCTGAGGCACAAGAATCACTTGAATCCAAGAGGCAGAGGTTGCAGTGAGCTGAGATTGTGCCACTGCACTCCAGCCTGGGTAACAGAGCAAGACTCCGTCTCAAAAACAAACGAACAAACAAATAAACAAACAAGAAAAGCATGATAAATAACACAAAATACAACAGAAAAATCCAGTTATAATAAAAATCACTAAATTCTAGCTAACAGAGATATATTTTCAGAATACATTTTCTAAAAAGTCCAACTATATGCTATGTCTGAGAGACAGGTGAAAAACATAATGGAATATTATCATATAAATGAACTGACACAAATATATCTCAAAAACATAATGGTGAATGCAAAAAGATGCAGAATGATTATTCAGTATGACGTCACTATTTCTAAAGTTTAAAAACGAAATTAGGTATTCCATATAGCACTGCTGGATCCTTACATCATATGTAATAAAAGTATAAAAACACAAACTGGAATAATATGTACCAACTTGAGCACAGTGACTATCTGTGGGGCGGAAGAGGAAATGAGCGTGGGGTCGTCGTTATGTCTAGTTTTGTATGTCTTTAATAAATCCCAAGTACATGCAGCAAAATGTATTGATGTCTGTTTAATCTTGACAGTGGGGGGCATGGGTGGTATTAATATTATTTTCCGTTCTCTTCTGTAGGCCTCTAATATTTCCCACTTTACAAAACACTGACACACGCTCAGGGCTCTCTGGGACGTCTTTGTGCACATCAACATTCGTGCTGAGAGTAGCTTCTGGACTCTAAAGAGGAAACTCTCCGAGCACCGTGGCCCACGCCTGTTATCCCAGCACTTTGGGAGGCCGAGGTGGTCAGATCGCTTGAGCCCAGGAGTTCGAGACCAGCCTGGGCAAAATAGCGTGACCCCATCGCTACAAAAACATTTAAAAACTAGCCGGGCGTCCTTACGCCCGCCTGTGGTCCCAGCTATTCGGGAGGCTGAGGTGGGAGGATCGCTTGAGCCCGGGAGGTCAAGGCCTCGGTGAGCCACTGCACTCCAGCCGGGGAGACAGAGAAAGACATCCCTCCACTCCCCCAAAAGAAGGGGAAACTCGCTGAGGCTGAGCGCTGATTTTCCAAGGTGGGGCTGGCACCTGCTGAAGGTGCCACAGGAGTGGAGAGACCATAGGGGGACTTGGAAAGAACCTGGAAAGGTGGCTGGGGCTATGGAGCCAAGCCTGTAGCAGGGCTGGACGGTGTCTGTAGTTTGTGCAGAACAGGAGGCAGTTTGTAAAGCCGACATACAGCTTTGGTTGATTGGAGCGGGGAGGGGTGGATGTGAGAGGTCAGGAAACCAGCGGCTGGAGGCCGGGGGCCTGGAGCGGCAGGGCTGGCGGGCAGATGTTAGGCCCCAGGCAAAATGGGCGCACCCCCTGCGGGGACCCGAGGTGACCTGCTTGAGGTCCGGTCGCCCAGGTTCCACCTGGAGAAGAAAATCTTCGTAATTTGGCGGGGGGAGGGGGGATGCGGGCACAGGCTGTGTTCTCCACGTCGCGTAGACTCACAGGCCATCCCTGGGTCGGAGAGTCTCCGTAGAGGGGCACCCCAGCGTCCCCAATACGCCGGGGCCGCTTCGTCGGGCTGACCGGGGTCCCTCCGGGTG